GAATATATAGCTCTGAAATATTAATTTTGGCCGCATCAAAGCCATTGTTTAGTTTTGAAGTAAATTATGCACTCTATTTAACGAATCTCAAATATCTCATAATTAGCTAGATAGATTTTTTCAAAAATCCCTACACATGGAGGCATCTAGTATATAATTATGYGGTACGAAGCATTTTAGTGTTGAACACTCTGCAAGGCTAAAATTGTTCTCTAAACAAAACATTTTTTCCCTCATAGTCACGTGTTATGACGTCCGATCTCATTAAAAACTGCATCAAACATTAATTCAATCTTTATGTGACTTATGTGCAAAAAAGATTTGCAATCGGATAAAACACGTTTATGCACCAGCGTTCCAAACGTGGAAGGTAGCGGTCAAGCGTGAGGGACTTTATTGCAGAAAGGTTGTAGTGCATATTTATACAATTAATACCCAACGCTTTCGCAGGTGACCTTAAATGATTGTAACTCTTTGAAACGAAATGCCTCGCTCCTTTCATCCCTCATTAAGGATGCATTTTCTTGATTATCTGTCGAGACCAGGGCCAGAGAATKCCGATGTATTAGACTAAACGGTAGGTTTGTAGACGAATATGGACCTAAAGGGGATTATTGGTTTTRGAGAGGTTCCTGCCCGTCTGGATATGGCTACAAACGTTCTTGCAAAATTGCCCGGGACATTTGCTGTTTCCCAAGACATTAATAACAGGTTATAGATAAACTGAAGTAAACTTAAAGCTCAGTAGTTCAAAACAATAAAGATAAATTGGTCAAATGAATAGTGATTAATTCRAAGGTTAAAACTGAAATGTTTTCAGAGTGTTAACTTCATGGTAAGCATGTTTTAATTATGAGGAAATGAACTACAAATAAAATCAGGTACTCAAAGAGATGGTAGTTTTTGTGCTTTAAATAATGAGCCATTCTCAATGACACGCTCCGCTCTAGCGATTGTTTCTTTCGCTTTTGGTGGACGTCGATCAAGGCGTTTCCATGACATTCTATAGGCACGTGCCCTTCTTATAGCTTTGTGCTTTCCGACAATCAATGGAAACGCCTTGTGATTGACGTCCACCAAATCCTTCTTCGTCGCAACAGAAAAAATCGCAAGAGGGCGTTTGTGATTGAGAATGGCTGTAATAAAAATGCGCTTCAAATAAGAGTGCAGTACATCAAATGTTGATTATTACCTCCTATTCGGTGGGCTATTCATTCAGAAAATGCTCATTCATTTACTCGCCAAAATAAGCCAAGCTTTTCTACAATTTCCTTTACAAATCTTTTTTACCTTGTCTTCAATTCTCCGGGTTTGTAAAGAAAGTATTGTTTCTTGAAACAAAGCTTCTAGTTGTTGACTCGCGCAGGCAACATTCTTGCACTCTTTGATATCGATCAAAGCCGASAACTGAATATACTGACCCTTCGCCAAAATGGCGACCGCAAATTTGAATGAGTTCAAATTAAACTAAGTGAATAACCAATACCAGCACTGAAAAGAGCACCTTTATTTTAGTAACCCTATAAAGATTCATTATGTCAGGTGTTATAGTGACCGAGAAAACTTAAGTTATGTCTTGGGCCATAGGTCTATTAGAATATATGTTTGGCTATTTCTATGAGTTACCGACGGGAGCGAAAAACCAATTTTGGGCGTGCAGTTTGTAATTTCCTTGTTCTCAGAATATCGAAAACCGCAGTAACATGAATAAAATTCATTTGGAAAAAAAAACCTTTTTAAACTTAATTGTTTATATCATAGTTAATCAGTAGATAGATTATCATAGATAATCCGTGTTTTACAGATAAAAGCAGGTAACGTGTATATTCAATTCAAGGACATTTCATTTTGGGAAACATTCATTGGTTGTTGCACCCCAAGGCGCAAAGCATTATGGGGTATGCGAAAGTAGAGAATTAAACTAATGTCTTAGGTAATCTTCGGTCCTACAAACTATATCTGCACCGCAATATCGGAGTTTGCACGTAAACCAMCACAGCGATTAGCCACTTGGTGGACAGYTCATACCAAAGTTATGACAAGATTGGAAACGGTCGTCAAAATGTCAGCTCGTCCCGGAGGTACAAGCGGTTTTGAGGGTAAAGTTTAGATATCCGGCCAGTTTCATCGGCCTTCTTTCCTGCTAGATGATTTACTACCATCATAATATAATCATACAATAGTCTCTTAAAGTTTTCAGCGAGATTTTATAAATTTTGGCAACGAAGCTAAGGGAGATTTCAAAAGTYTTGAYGTCTAACAGTTGGACGACTAGACTGTTAACAGTCTCTCTTTCCCCTCCAGACTCAGTCGAGTCGGGTTTTTCTGGTCTTGGACTTGCGGGGAATGGGTGTGACTTTGATTTGGACGACCAAACAGCCATTATTATGCCACAAAGAGAATCTCTCTAAACAACGATGCAGCCGAACAGATGTAAACGATAATATAGAGGCGCAGTGCATTATAGTTGACTAGGATTCTGTAATTAAGGACTATTAATAGCGAAGCTCCCACCATACTTAAGAAAATTGTTTTATATTATTTATCGCTGTACATAATGTGAGTAAACTTGAGCCCGACAGATACCGCGCGCAATCATCTTGGTAATCTCTCTTGGCAATCATCCACTGTGTATTAGTAATAATATGGTCGGGCATTCCAAATAATTAAATAGTTTTGCATAGTTAATTCAAGAAAATAATCAATAACGGAGAGATTAAGAATTCCAAATAGCGGTACATAATAAAGATGAAGGTGTTAAATAAGCTCCAACATACCCTCACATAAAGAAACCCACTGCATGCACCAACAGCTTCTTGTTTATATATGTTTTTTGAAGGCTAACATGAATCAACCATGGGGTAAACGCATACTTGTTATTTTCTTAAACTGTAAGAATATTTTAATTTCGTTATATAATGGTAATATATAGAGATTATCAGATGTCAAGAGCTTGATATCTTAAATGTGATTATTTGCATATCATACATTTAGCGTCTATTTTGATTTGGTTAAAACTAAAATATGTCGCGAGATATTATTGGACAGTTTTACCGTWTTTATTCACAGCTTTATTTCACGGATATCGACCATTAATGTGTAATAATATAGTTTGAGCCCCGTGACCAATGATCTAATAAAGATACACAATACAAGTAAATATCGCATCTTATGTCAATCACCGCTACGCTATCATGCACAATTCAATCCCCAATAAGATTACGCTAGCATGCAAGATTACAAACAAAAAAGCAGTAAACAAGGTCTGKTCTTCCTTTACTTTGTGATAGTCTTCGGTTGGTTATGTCTCGATTTATTTGTTTTATCTTGACTCTATACTACATGTATTGATCAGTACGCGAACTGATATATATCTGGCGTACATGTGTATATATATATGATTACAATCATGTGATTAACTWTAACGTAACTAGTTAAACAAAGATGCATTGTCACGCAATATCATATAATGTTACATCCTCCTCTCAACGAACTACAAGTCAAACTTTGTTGTTGGTTTGACAACCCGTCCATATCTAGTTGTGTAGTTTGAGGGCGTGTCCATGCCACTAGTACTTTGTGGTACTTGGTCATCTGCTGGTGGCTTTGGTGGTGTATCTTGCTTTTGTACTGCTGTATCCGGTCGCAAGTCAGACCTTGTTCTGCGATATACAGTTTCATTATCATGCCTTTTCACAAGGTMCGACCTTGGTTCTCTAGCTTGTTGCTGTACTACTGCTGGCTCCCATGTCTTCCATCTGTGATCATACATGCGCACTGGTTGCCCACCATATAAGGGTTGTTGTACTCTTCCAGTGGTACGGTTATAGTATTTACTCTGCTGTTCTTGTCGGTCAAGTAGACTCTCTCTGATCTAGTCCCTATCATTTCCAGTCTGGAATGCTCTTTGTGCAGCTGGTAAAGTGGTCTTGAACTTTCGACTGTTAAGAAGTTCTGCTGGTGACTTGAGGTTATTGTTGACTGGTGTTGTCCTGTACGAAAGGATCCCCAAGTATGGGTCCTCACCTCGCTCGTCACACTTCTTCAGG